CACCTTATTTATAAATTTTTCCCCTTTCAAAAGGTTGAATTGCTGCTCAAAAATATGGGCTGAAATCCTCCTAATTATTATTGGGATTGAACGCCTCAGTTGGATCAAATGGAATGGGTTCGTGTGTGGGCTAACCTCTTTATCCATTCAGGTCCACCAAGGCTCAATATGCCCAAGTAAGAGTAACAATCTAATTGTATCCCAAGTTGCTCGGGGAAGGCCCGCCTCGTTTGGGCATCCTTCCCTTACAATTGTGAGATGTACCTAAAGTGGTAGTTTAAACTTAAAAGAACACGAATTGTCTTCTAATTTCTAAATCGATAATTAACCCCCTAAAAAAGGACATGAAGAGACTTCTAAAGCAAGAATTTCAACAACGCCCAAAGACTGCCAAGATTATTTTCCATCCGGACTATATATATGAGATACAACTTCAGATCCAAAATGTATGATAATTACATATGAGGAGGACGGGGGCACCCCAAATCCCATATTATGCAGGTGCAGTCGAGCTTGGAGGACAGAAGAATTGAAGCAAAGCGTAACTACAACATAACACTCAAGGTTGATGGCATCGTTTAACCTATGAGGATTTGTTTGATTAGCTTTATTTTCCATGGAAAATGTGTTTGATTGACCTTTTTTTTCATGAAAAATATTTTCCAAAAATTGGTCATGTAACCATGTTTTCTTCAAAAACAATGAAAATATTTCCTTCATGGAGGGTAGGTTTTTATTTTCTAAGCAATTCGCACTTCTCAATTTAATGGAAAAATACAACATTTTCTAGGTTGAAAATTAAGTCAATCAAACACATTTAATTGACAATTTTCATACATAAGTTTTATGCAATTTAATTACTTAGAACTTATTTTCTTTCCATACAAATTACGTGCTTATAACCAAATACACCCAATATTTCATCTCCAATCAATCGAGAACGTTCCTACTTGTTATGTTCTTCCTTGACTTTGGATTCAATTCATCAGCCCCGTTTCGTTTGTATTCCGCTCTTCTCTCCGAAAAATTAAGACTACATTCGAGTAGGCATGCCAGGAGCACTTTCTACTTATTCACCCAGGACAAAAACATGAACCCGTAAAAAAG